TTCAAATCGAAGTGGGAGTTTCCTGTCCAATCAGGCATGTTCACATCAAGTCCGAGTCCTTAATGTGGGGATATATTTATCGATCATGTCAACCTTCATCTATGAAGAGGTACCCCAACGTAGAACCGAGTTAACATTATTTACGAGTGAGTAGGAATTGTAATTTTGTAGTGGTAGACAAACTACATTTCACTTTTATCATATTTTAGAAGCAGAAATATTTAGTACAAAGGCGACTTTTTCTTTTCATTAATATATCATAAAAGTGAAAGTTAAAATAATACTTATATATGCTGCATAATACCTTAATATGCTCTACCAGGGCTGCTATTATAGATAATTGACATACACCGAGTTAACTGAAAAGGCCAGATGTTTTAACCTCAAAAGTAACCACACAATTGGTCTGACATAGCACAAAAAGAGTGAATAAAATTTTTATATACGGAAAGTATAACTGATAAATTTATTGCATCCTTTAAAAATAGTCATAAGCATTGTGAATGACAATAAATTACCACCACCTAGGATAACAATTAACACTTAATATATACCTATTACGGTCAAATAACCGTACTTTATGTTTCTTGATTGAATGTATGAAATGTGGACGTTAGGAAGGAAATAAATTAAAAAAAACCTTATTATAATTAAACGAAATTATATATTGCCAATTTTTATGTATAACAAAGAATAAGAATTTTTAATTTATTGCTCATTTACATTGTACATTTTCCACAAACATATTTCTTCTAATCATTATTATTTCTATAATTCTTACAATTATTATTATAATTAATATTATTTCTTCTAAAAATTTGCGCTATCTTTGGCTATATCGCTATAAATCGCTATATCTCGACATTTTTCTGGGTAAAAACTAACAGTTAGTTAGAAATGAAGTAACGCCAACAAAATAAAATATAAGCGACTTACCAAAACATTTAGTTTTTGTCACTTTTCCTTATACAAAAATGCCAATCTAAGATTTTAGGTACTTTCTTGAAATTTGAATTCACAGTTATTCTGATTGAACTCACTACTCAACAGTCTTTGCAGAAATGTGTAATTCATAGAATGTAATACGTTGTACACGCATTACATCGTAATTTCTGATTCGATAACCTTCGAAAGCAATAAATTGTTCTCCGGGTCAAATGACCGGTTCTGGACGAAATAGGTATACGACAAGTATTATTTGAAACAAACAAAATATAAAAAAATAATAAACGAATATTTTAACTAACTGTATATAATTGTTAGAAAAAGTCATGAAGTCAAATGTGCAAAAGCGATGAGCGTATTTTCGATGCAAAAGCTCTTAAACGGTAATTTGACCGGTAATGGTATGTTAAGTGTTAAATCACGTCCTGAATATATACTGCGATGTGTTTTCTTGTTAATCGTATGTCAGGGTGCGTAGCCAAATCTTTGAATCAAAAATAAGCACTTTTTAAAAACTTTTCAAGCGCTTTACAAAAATTTTCAAGCACTCAAAAAATTCATATTCAATTAATGATATTATTGAAAAACAAAAACTTTATAAACAGTTTTAGCGTTAAAAAAAACCCCAAAAAGAAACGGGCGTAAATCGAAACAATCAGTACTTTCCCACATCACCGAGTGAATTCAACTTGACCCTGTACTCAGAACAAAAGTACCCTTACCCCCTAAGTCAAAAAAAAGTGTTAGAAGTAAAATAAAATAAACAAGAACAAAATTAAAATAAATTAAAAATAAAAACATTTCATAAGGATCTGATATTCTCTATCCGAATTGGAGCACTCGGGTTTCGGTTTCAAGTGTGCGTGCATGCGCAAGTCATAACGTGGGTACGACATGAAGTCCGTGTGAATGATTACGTAACCAACTCCCCATTTTTCGTTAAGTGCATGGGATCCACCAGATATCACTGAAGGAAAAAAAAAATTTCGGAAAAAAAGCACTTTTTAACAACGCCAGCTGAAAAAAGCACCTTTAAAAGCTTTTAAAAGCGAAATCCCCAAAAAAGCACCTTTAAGTACTTTTTACAAACGCTGCGCACCCTGGTATGTATATAAACCGCGATCCATTATTTTAAATCAAGTGAATGCAATTTTAAAATTCGTTTTACCTAGAAAGGAAAAAAGGTGAAATATGGAAGTTTTTTTTCAGTCAATAAAAAAAACAGAACTTTCTAAGAAAAAACGGATTTTTTCTTTTAGTGTCAAACCCCGCTATAGTGAACGTTCTAGGGACCGAAATTTCGGTTCACTTTAACGGAGAGTTCACTATATCCGTACTGCAAACTATTTTAACTAATTTTTCCGAACTACTTCCTTGTACTGCGCATTGTTTAATCAAATGACCAATAAAAAGAAATAAAAATATAATTTTTAAAGAAAACAATATGTAGTAACAAAAAATGCGTTCACTTTTATTTTTAATTACTCTTCGTTTTGCGCACAAAAAAAAATTTAGAGATGGCCTTTATTTAAGGACGGGTAACTGAGATAGAAGAAGATATAATGCTTATGGCTACATTCCACTCAGCAGATGGTTTTGAAAATCGGATTATGCATTTCATGTAAAAATTTCAAAATTACCAAAAAATGAAGAAAAAAATCAGTCGAAGACAGAAAAAAGTTCATATTATGCAATTTCCTCTCTTTTTTTGGTTCACTATATCCACAAAAAATAATATATGTTCATAGCAAGGCAAGGGAGCGAACATTTCGTTCACTATATTCAGAAGTTCACTATAAATTATGTTTACTATGGGGGTTTGACTGTATTAATTTTTAAAAAAAGCGGAAAAAAACTAATCTCTATTATAACGGGGGTCTAACTAAATAACATTGGATGCAAATAAAATAAAATATAAAAAGAATACCTTGATTTTACTGTTACTGTAACTTTTTTCTAATGTATTCTAGGGTTGTAGGTGCACAATAAGCTGTCAACAAAGGACGAGCAACTGGGATGGGAAACTAAATAAAAAGCTAAAAGAATACAAATTATATAGTTAAGAAATATACAAATATGAAACAGAGTTTTCAATTACAATTATTGAAATAAATTTAACCTTTCTTCCAGCACTTTTACATTCCAGCTCATATTCTTCAAAGTTTTAAAACTTCAGATGAGCTTACTTCCAAAGCTTCATTTAACTGATCAACCTATATGTGAAAATAAATGATTAATTAAAAAATAATTTAAATTTAACTGATGTAAATTAAAGTGAATACTACAGTCATTTGTATAGTAATAACAGTTCACTTAGTAATAATGAATAGATTTTAGTTTATCGATTTAGTTGATAAACTAAACAGCTGGGGAAAAAATTCAATCTTAATGGTTCCTGAGGGTGACTTCAAGTATCCCAATTAAATAGTTCAGACCAGCGATTCTCAACCTGTGGAGCGCGCCCCCCTAGGGGGACGCGACCAAACCAGAGGGGTGGCGCAAGAATATTCAAGAGAAAATATTAATTGAAAAAATTGATTAACTGGATGAAAGGAAAGCGCACATATACATAGAAAACAAAATACATTTTGACATATTTAATAACTTATTAAAGTGAAACAACTTATTAAATCAAAATTTAAGGTGGGAAGTCAAGGGTGGCTTGGCCTTATGGATTTTTTTTATAATTTTTTGATTAAGTCTGTGTATCTGAATTTTTTATGTAACATCTTACACCTATCTCTAATATATATCACGTATACCTTTAATTGTAAAATAAAATTATAGTACAATTTTAAAATTTTAGCTTCTGCACCTAAGGTTTCGCACAGGTTCCAAAGGTGAGCCATGTTTTGAAATCACTTTTTCACTTACTCAAATTATCTTTAGAAAAAACACTTGGACTGGCAAACTTCTTTTAAAAAGGCACTTTAAGTGTCTTGCTGGTAGGAACAAGTTTCCCGACTTTAAAAAAGATATTTGTTTTCAGAGTGTATAATTTGTTTATTGATTTTACTTTGATAGTTCTTGTGTGAAGTCACTAGCGATTCTTTTGAGTTCACTCATTAGAATTAATCAAGAATTATTGAGTTAATTTTTTCAGAAGGATTAGC